ACCGCATCTGGGTTCCTATCCGCTCGCGACTGATTTTCAATTTCGCCACTTATTTGTCTTATTCAAGGCCACATACAAGCCAGTCCTGACCGACCCGCCTACTTACCCCTTTATGAAATTCGTTATACAATGCCATATACAGCTGACATTTATTTCGGCCCTGTTGATGTCCGACTATAATCCATTATTTACCGCCACATGCAGGCCAGTCCTGCACGCAATTTTCTGATTCTATTATTTTGAGGGGTATTTTTTTCTCCTGTTAAATTAATCCATTTATTTTTAAGTTATCAAATGGAGTATTTTTTTCTCACTCCTCGTTTATAATTTTGCTCAACGGACTTCTAATCTCAAAAACTATGTATTGCACTTTGTACAGATTTTCACTACCTCGTCTAAATTTCGTATGTAAATTTATTTTTCCTTGCTTTGATGGGACCCGACGGGTCTTTAATAAAAATAATTAAAAAATTAAAATAAAAATTATCACTGGAAGGGAAGCTGTTAGGGAGTAGAAAATGGTAAAGTCATTGGCATAACATGGACATAGATAAGAATACGTGTAAAAAAATTGTGTGGGGTGGGGAGCGAAATATCGAGGCTATATCCGATCGCACTGCTTGTATTTCGGGATAATGCTGTAGGGATCGGTCTAAGTGCGATACAAAGAAGTAAAATGGGATCCAATTGAACTGATTTGGATGGGTCGGGCAAGCGGCCACGGTGAAGCAATTAAGAATAAGTGGATATTGAAGGCGGTGATAGGGATGCGGAGCGGAATAGCGAGCCTATCTCCGAGAAAACGCAGGTAGGGAGGAGATAATGGTATATGAATGGGTCTGATGGCAAGATAAATAAGAATAAGGGGAAAGGGCAATTGTTAGTGGGATGGGGTTGGGAATAGCGAGTCTATCTCGGAAACGAATGAGGGTAGGTAGAAGGCAATTGTATAGGAGAAAACACAGGTAGGGAGTAGATAATGGTATATGAATGGGTCTGGTACACCTGAAATTTTCTGTACTGTTGTTTATATTACCAAAAATAGACACACTTGGTTTCGACTTGTTAGAAAGCGTAACTTTTGTGTCCGTCTGCTGCTTATTGTCATTGTTTCGTCGATTGCACTCATTTGCCTCAATCGGTTTTAGTCAATCAACACGAAACGTTTATATCTTTTGGCTATATTTAACTGGACGTAATTGCACCTGAGCGACAAGCCTCATTTACTGACTTCGTCTCAGGATTTTACTCAGAACATTCACCCTATGGCCAACAATTTTGGAGAAGGCTTCATCTTTCGTGAGTCTGTACCAGTATTTACCTTTTGTTGTTTTTCTGATACTCCATTTGTTATCGTTATTTTTCTTGTAAGAAACGCAGCATCCCCCTCTTAGAGTTAGGTATTTATTATTGTTTTTTATTTTAATTGTTTTTACACTACAAAAGTGGTGACCCTGTTTTTCAATATCTACACAACCTTTTTTTAACTATGACCGATATCGATCCTCAAACAAACTCTGTCGACATCAATACCCTCTCCTTCAAACTACCCCCTTTTACACCGAGCAACCCCCGGGTTTGGTTTCTTCAAATTGAGGCGGTTTTCCCAACGAGCTGCATTACTAGCGAACGCACCCGCTACTCTTATGTGCTGCAGAGTCTCCCCTTCGACGTTGCCGTCGATGTTGACGACCTCCTCGACCCCATTCCTGCCAACGACTCGTACACCCACTTGAAGAATGCCGTCATCCAGAGAGTGGCCAAGTCGACCAATCGGATGCTACGGGAGTTGTTCACACAGGTAGAACTGGGTGATCAAACCCCTTCGCAGCTTATGCGCCACATGCGCTCATTACTGGCTGGCCATCATATGGACGACGACGACGACGACGACATCTTTCGACAAATCTGGTTGGATGAATTGCCAGTTCCTATGCAGCAGGTTTTGTCTATGCTGGACATTAGCACCTCTCTAGACAAAGTTGCCAATCGTGCCGACAGGATCAGTGCTTGTTACCCAGTCGGCGCGACATGCGACAATATTCAACCGACCTCTACTTCCGACAGATCTGATAGAGTAGCCATTTCCTGTTCAGAAGTCACTTCTTCATTAGAACGCGACACTTCTTGTGTTGAGCGGTCATCCTGTCGTTGCTCATCACGCAGAGCCATCACGTCATCAGGTCCATCAAGACAGCCGAGCAGTCCTCACCGAGGCGATTATGACGACCTCAAAGACACTGTAGTCTTTTGTGCACACAAGTGAGCACCATATGCACTGTCATAAATAGTTTACAGTCAGCCAGAAATCAGTCACCCTCGCGCCGTCGTTCTATATCACGAGAGCGCCCCTCTACAACTCTGTGCTGGTATCATCGGGTTTTAGGTCCGAAAGCACGCAAGTGCATCCCTCCCTGCACATACCTGCAGGCCTCAACACAGGGAAACGACCGCGTCAGCCAGTAACGGTGACAGCTACCGCTGGCCAGTCACGACCCAGTCGACTCTTTTATATCAGTGACAAATCGAGTGATCCCCGTTTCCTTGTCGATACTGGTGCCGAGATCAGTGCCATCCCGCCTCCAAGGCGTCACCATCTCTAGCCTTCGCAGTTCTCCTTGCAGGCTGCCAATAGCACCACCATCAACACTTATGGCCAACGGTCGCTCACACTTGACATCAGTCTTCGGCGACGTTTCCAGTGGGTCTTTGTGCAGGCCGACGTCAAATTTCCCATCATTGGGGCAGATTTCCTGACACATTTTGGCCTTGCAGTTGACCTTAAGCAACGCTAAATTATCGATACCACAACCACACCCTTTAACGTAGGCATTGCTGCTTCTGAACCCTTGGTTAGCATTCAGTTGACCGTACCAAGCTCACCCTTCGCTGACATTTTGAAGGACTGCTCGTCCCTCACTAAGCCCTGTCAGTTCACCGGGGAGGTTCAGCATACGGTTAAACATCACATCATCATCACGGGGCGACCTGTTTACGCTCATCCTCGCCGTCTTCACCCCGAAAAACTTCGGATAGCAAGGAACGAATTTGAGCATATGATGAATCTAGGAATTATTCGTCCTTCCTCCAGCCCATGAGCCTCTCCCCTCCACACGGTACCCAAGAAATCGACTGATGATTGGAGACCATGCGGTGACTATCGCGCACTCAACAGAGCCACTGTTCCCGACCGATACCCTATTCCCCATATGCATGATTTTTCTCACACGCTGGCCGGATTTCAGATTATTCCAGTTTATTTGATTAGGATGATAGGCAAATCTTTTGAGATCACTATTGATTACTGATACCGAAGACAAGCACAAACGAAGTTTCAATTTTATATTAAAAAACTTTCCTAAGAGTAGACAGCCAATAGATTTCGCTTTTCATTTCCTTTATTCACGCGGCTTCAACTTCAGTGTCGCTGAAGCTAAAAGTCTTTCATCTAGGAGCTAGAATCCACTAATTCTTGTCAAACTCTTTTCATCCATAGAGGTGGACTTTAATTTTTCCCATTTGGAGCGCTCGACTCACTATCTCAGGGAAAATAAACTTTTTATTAGTCGAGATCAAACTCTACTGCAACGAAGATTTTCTCCCACATTAACAAACGTAAAGCCACCACCGAATTCTACTCATATGCCTTTTACATCTAAATCATTTTCTCCATCTGGTGTCGACCAAATCTCCCCACTATCTGCAGCGGTCCCAGTTCCATCTAGCTCTTCGACTGATCACATTATCACAAAGACAGTTAAAACCAGCCTCTTTAAAACTCCCCCACGAAGCAAGGATTTTTCAAATGCGGTTCCCAATTTTACAAGGGAGCTTGATCTTAACAGAATAGATAATCCAGTACTTGAAGCACAACCGACTCCCAGCACACAGAATATTGATTAAGT